TGTAATCAATAAAACAGTTTGAAATTACTGTCGGATGAATTTTAGTTGTACAAATCTATGTGCCGTGTGCATTTACACACGTGTAAGTGTTCGTATGTATGAACGTGCGTATGCATATATGTATGTGTGTATGCAAGTTGGTATGTGTTAATGTATGCGTGTGTGTGTGTGGTGTGTGTGGTGTGTGTGGTGTGTGTGTGTGTGTGTGTCTTTGTGTATGAGTAGCGATTGAGAGGAAAAAAGTTAAAAAAGCGAATAACGACGCAGTTAGAATTCCTCATAATCGATAGAGAAGGTTAGGGAAGTTGCGTGCAAAAGTTCATGTTTGTATGTTTGCCTGCATTGATTAACGTGTGCGCAAATACATGTCCGTATTTGATGCGTACAAATGCGTTCAGGCGTGTGTGCATGTTAATGAAGAAACTGCTTCAAATGATTTATTAGGCGCACAACTAAGATTGTTGTTGTTGTTGTTGTCGTAGTAGTAGTAGTAGTTGTTGTTGTTGTTGCGTTTATGCATTTGATAAAAAGAAAACAACATGACATGAACGTTTAGCATGAGGTGGTAGAATGAGTTGAATAATTCTTGCATGCGTCAATCGCACAGCAACCTGAAAGATGAACATCAGGTGTCCACCATCCCACAGTGCACACCAACCTGATTCTCCAAGCAATGACAACTGGTCAATAAATTATTTTTTATATTACTATTACCACTCCCCACATCATCATCATTATCCTTGCCACTTTCGCCGTCGTCGGCATCAGCGGCATCCGCATCATCATCATCATCACCATCACCCTTATCATCATCCCTCCTAGTATCATCATTATCATCATCACTATCTTCATCGTCTTCATCATCCTCATCTTCATCCTCCTACTCATCATCATCTCTCCTAGCATCATCACTCACATGAACCCATTCAGCTCATTGACACAGGTCGCTCCGTTGGGACACGGGTTAGATAAACAGTGATCTACGTACTCATGTTCACAAAGCATTCCTTCGTAACCTTCTGAACATGAACACTCAAATGGCACTCCTGCTTGCATCAATGTGATCGTCGCATGGACGGAGGTGATGATGATTACAATGATGATGATGATGGTAATGTGAAGAGTATAGATGGATATGTTCCTGAGCAAGATGTAAATTTTCACGAAGGATTTTAAGTGAATTGACAAAAAGTTGTGCTGTCGATAAATTATGACAGAAAAGAGAGAGAGATTGATTTAATTGAAAAATAACAAAAAGACCCATTCAAAACTGAGATTTTGTTGGATTTTATCAAAACATTTTAGACGTTGAAATCAAAAAGTTATATAAAAAATTATATAAATTATATTAATCATGTTTATACAATTTGTTTTTCGAATTTAGAAACATTAACATTGAATTGAATTAAATTAATTAATTTAAAAAAATTATAATTTTAATAAATTATTATTTATGACATGAACTTTAAAAAATTTTCCTACCATTGTTGCCAGTCGCGGGCACATCACGACACAAACCGCCATTTTTACATGGTTGTTGTTGACACGTGATGAGATATTCGCAGTGGTTACCATAATAGTGAAGTGGACAGTCACATCTGATTGATCAATTGGTTGGTTGGTTGATCGGTCGGTTGGTAAGTTGTTGGTTGGTTGATTGGTCGGTTGGTAAGTTGTTGGTTGGTTGGTTAGTTGGTTGGTTGGTCAATTGGTTAGTCAATTGGTTGGTCAATTGGTTGGTCAATTGGTTGGTCAATTGGTTTGTCAATTGGTTGGTCAATTGGTTGGTCAGTTGATTGGTTGCTTGGTTTGCCGGTTATTTTTATAATTATTTAAAACAGTGTCAACAAATTTTGTGTAATTAAAAAATACGTCAGAATGGCATCAGCAACAATATCAGCTGCAACACAAACCACCTCAACTACATCGGTAACTTCTACAACAGCAACAACAGCGACCACATTTACTAAAACTACAACAACAACAACTGCCTGCACTACCTGTAAGAGTTGATGCCATCACTGCAATGTCCACCATTTCGACAGACAACATTTCGGCAATCATTGAGATTCAATTCACAGCTCTGCCCAGCAAACCCTGAAAATTAAAATTAATCGTCTTGATGGGATATCGAGATCTCAAAATACAGACTCCCAAGTTTGTAACTGCAGTCAAACTAATCACTCTTTATGTAAACAACATTTTTTAATGCAACCATCAATACAATTTATTTTCTCTTGATTAGTTTGTTAAAATATCAACAAAATACACACAGCGCATTTGAATACAGGTAAAACTACGAATCATACACATAGCATGTTATAAGCGAGAATCACTTGGCAATCGAACCGGATTATTACAACCGCAGATACAGACGTCTTAGCCGTTACGCCGCTTAACTACCACAATACATATTGGTTTTCCAATTACTAAAAGATAATCGACGTGAAGCATTTGTCATTTTGTGGTTATAAAGGCGATTTTCATTGTAGACATTATAAATTATTAATTATAATTATAAATTATAAATTAATCATTGATAAGAAACTTTCCCATCTTTAAAACTTTAGGAATTGAAATAAACATTTTTACGAAAAAAATGACACTATAACGTTAAAAATAATAAGGATCATATGTTAATGACATAATCTACAATAATGAGAACGGAGAGCAAAACAGACCATGAGGACATATGCACTTGGAAGTTCCATCCAACGTGCCCATGCACTCTCCGTCATTCAGACATGGGAACATCTTGCAGTCCTGAACTTTAAATTCACAGTGTGATCCGTAAAATCCGGGCAGACAACTACATTGATGCATCAGTGACGACGATGTTGATGATGATGACGATGAAAATGATGATGGTAATGATGAAGTTGATGATGAGAAATTTTCTTGCACCTTGCAGTAAGAGTTAACAGGACAAGTTTCTCCTGTAAAACATCATTACATTTTAAACAAAAAATAAAACTTCTTTTATGAATGTAATGTCAAAAGGATGAACAATGAAGCAAACTGGAGCAGAGATCGAAGGATTCACATCTACTGCCAATGAATCCCAGCGGGCACAAGCAGCGAGCAGTTGATTCGGAGGATGGAGGCATGCACATACCCAAACCGCAAGGATGTTCATCGTACGTGTTTGTAGCGTCTACACTTCTTTTGTTACAAAAGTCATCCTCAATCACATACTGACACCTTTGTCCCTGGGTATTTTTAACATACGCAGTGAAACTTCAACGCTTATGACTAATTTTATTATCGTAGTCGTGATGAAAAATTTTTTAAAAATTCTGTTTATATAAAATAGGGAACAATTGAATTAAAGTAGTTTTAAAATAACTTAAATTATAAATTAATTCCGTGAAGTTAAAAAAAAAATCTTTTTTTTTTAATTTTTCCATCAATTTAGCAGCCGACAATGACTAAATAATAGTTTATAAAATGAAACAAACCTGATAGCCGGCAGGGCATTGGCAAACAAACTCGTTGGCACCTTGCAGACAAACACCACCGTTTAAACAAGGGTTCTCTTTGCAAAACTCTTTCAAATGTGAGTAATTGAACATTTAAGAAACGCAACAAAGAAGAAAGCAGGCACAATAATCAAGCACCGGTCAAACAAAATATAACAAAATATTATGTTACATGTATGAACTGTATACTGTGTAGTCACATTAAAATAGCGACCGCAATTTTTTCAGAAAAGAGTTTAAAAAACTACTACAAACGTTTCTGAATCTGGCAGAAGAGTCCATCAAAATTATTTGAACAGATGCAGTAGACTCCGAACGCATCCATCGTACATGTTCCATTGTTTCTACATGGATTCTCTGAACAGTCTCTAACCTCGTGTTCACATTTTATTCCTAATTGTAGTTTTGAAATAATTGGACAATGAAGTTTAGTGCATAAAAAATTTAAGATAAATTTGTTATTTGAAACCGCTAATTTAATTCCTGGTCTTACACTAGGTTAGAATAAATGATAAAGTAAAGAACCAGTGAAGGGAGGCTTGCAGTCACACGATGGTAGCTGGTTAGCACGATTCATTTGACATCTCCCTCCGTTCAAACACAAGTCACATTCCTTCAGCTCCATCAGAGCGGCTTTGTCACACATGGTGCCTTATTTATAATCAAGGTCATTGTTACGGTGCTATGCAGAATGACATCATTATTAATACTTTATTGAATGTGCAATGTTGGCCTATGAGCCTAGAGATAGAATGAGCCTACCAGTGTAACCAGCATTGCAAACGCAAGTTGTCACTCCAGTAGATGGCGTGATGACACATGCACCCTGGATGCACGTAGCAGCACTGCATGGCACGAGGGTTTCACAGTTCAGCCCCTGGTAACCCTGAGTGCACTGACATTGGTAACCCGTCGCCCCTAAAATTTCATTTTTTAAGATACTGCTTGACCAAATCATTTTAAGTAACAAAAAAAACTATGTTTATTTTTTTAGATCAATGTCGACAATGATTTTAAACAAAATAAATTTGTTACGAATCGAATTATTCATTACGATCAATGAGTAAATAAGCTATATAAGCCAACCGATATTAGTACAAGTAGCTCCGTTTCTACAAGGATTGGAGGAGCATGAAGGGCCGTTAAAACATTGGTCAGCAATAAAGACACCAGCACAACACGTATAACCTGTTGCTGTATTCTTGCAGGTTGATCCTTGTTCATATGTATGTGTGTTTTGTTTCAATGTTATATGTTAAAACTCAAAGTTATTCCAAATCACTTTTTTCAAACTGTATAGAAAAAAATGGCACATAAAGTTGCATATAATGAACTAAATAAAAAATTCGCAGCCCTATAGAATAAAGTCAAAAAATCTATTTATACAGTGAGCAGGAAAGCAGTTACCATTTATGCAAGGATTAGATCTACACGGTAATAGGGTCTCACAGTTTCTTCCTCCGTACATCGTCGTACAATTGCAAGCGTAGTCGTCATCCAACTCAACACAAGTCCCTGTTTTCATGTGTCATAGTTTTGAAAAGGCATTGCTTTGTTTAATTCACATGAAGACTTAATTTCGTCATTGAAATTAATAAATTCCAACTTACCCTGATGAATGCATGGCACACTTGCACACCTTGAAGTAGTTTCACATCTGAGCCCGGTAAATAACGATCCGCAAATGCAAGTTGGAGTGCCCGTTGAATTTACACAAACTCCGTCGTTCAAACAAATGTTGACAGTGCAAGGATTTTTCAATTCACAGTAGCGACCAAAGAACGGTGACAGACAAGAACAGGTGAATTGGTTGCCAACAGACAGACAAGTTCCACCGTTTTGGCATGGTTGATTGGAGCATGCTTGAGATATACCACATGTCGGTCCCGTGTAACCAGGCAAACACGAGCAATTGTACGACCCATTTAAATCCATACATATTCCGGAATTTAGACAAGGATTGCTGGAACATTGTTTGAAAATTTCACATCGTGTGCCCGTATAAGCCGGAGTGCAAGTGCAGGTGTAAGCATTTAGAATTGAATCAAATTTGCAAACTCCGTTATTTAGACAAGGATTTGTTGTGCATAAATTTATTTGTGAACAAGTACTTCCAGTGTACGGTTGAACACAAGTGCAACTGAAAGTATTATTTATTTGATTAGACGTACAACTTCCACCATTCAAACAGGGCGAATTGAAACATGGGTTAAACTGAATACATCTATCTCCATAATATCCTGAAAAACACTGGCAGATGACGTCAACTCCAGTAGAACCACCTAAAGAACACAATCCTCCATTTTGACATGGGAAGTCAAAACAAGGATTTTTTAACTGACATCTTATTCCTACAAAACCCTGTATACAGCTTTGGGAAATAGGATGATGATAATCAAGTTTAAAATATAAATAATGAAATACGCATAATATACATAAATATGTAATATATTTATTAATATAATTTATTCATTTATAACATAAATTAAAAATCAAAATAACAAAATCTAATTAATTTTCTAACCTGCAAATAAATGTACCAGCACTAATAGCGCATGTGGCATTGTTAAGGCATGGATTGCCACTGCAGGGGTTGGACGAACATGTTGGTCCATTGAATCCAGTCGTACAAGCACAAACAAATGATCCACTTGTCCCTACAGAACATGTTCCTCCATTTTGACATGGATTTGGTGAGCAAGGACTTTGGCTATTGCATCGTTCTCCTACATATCCAAGTAGACAAGTGCACGTGAAAGATAAACCGCTGGCGTCTAATGAACATGTACCGCCGTTAAGACAAGGAGCACTGGAACATAAATTGACAATTGTTTGGCAAATGGTCCCTGAGTAGCCAGCAGGACAATTACAGTTAAAATTAGAACCATTCCTAATGCACTGGCCATTATTAAGACAAGGATTTGCGATACAAGGATCACGAATTTCACATGTTGTTCCAACCCAACCAGATGAGCATGTGCATGTAAATAAGTTTACATTCACAATACAAATTCCGTTGTTTTTACAGGGGTTAACACGACACGGATCAAATTCGGAACATGTCAGTCCATAAAAGTTTGGTGGACAGGCACAAACAAATCCATTTGTAGTAGCACTGCATGTGCCATTGTTTAGGCATACTGAAGTAGAACAAGAATTAGACAGGGTACATTGCGGGCCAGAAAAACCAGGTCTACAATCACAAACGTACGTTTCATTATAAATTCCAGTGTTTCGACAAGTTCCTAAGTTTGCACAAGGAACATTCAAACACGGGTTAATTACATTACAAATTTGACCAACATACGTGTTAGTACATAAACACTTGAAATTTGCAGCATATGGTACAGTGGTTGAAACAACTGACGTGCATACACCATTGAGACATGGAGATGATTTACACGGATCAATGGTAGAGCATGTTGGATCAACAAACCCGTCAGGACATTTGCACTGAAAACTATTTGAAGTGGTTGAAAAACTGCAAGTTGCAGCGTTTTTACATGGGTTAGAAAGACAAGGGTTTGGTTGACCACAATAAATGCCGACAAAATTAGGCAAACATTGGCAAGTAATAGGACCAGTTGAACTAGATAAGCAAGTACCACCATTCAAACAAGGATTGTTTCGACATGAATCTAACTGATTACAAACTTGACCATAATAACCTCCAACACAGTTGCACGTAAACCCAGTGTTGTACAAACCTGTAAGAACACAAGTTCCTGAATTTTGGCACGGACCACTGAAGCATGGACTAATGAGTTCACAATTTTTGCCAACAAAAAATGTTGGGCATTGACATAGGTAGTCAGAAGAATTTGTAAGCGAAACAACACAGCTGCCACCATAATTGCAAATTACATTTAAACATGGATTTGATGATTCACAAAGTAAACCAGAATAAATAGATGAACATTGACATTTAAAACCAGTTACAACGCTAGAATCACGAATACATGTACCACCGTGCGTACAAGGTGTTGAATCACAAGGGTTTTGAATATTTTGACAGCGGTCTCCATAAAAGCCATCAGTACATTGACACAGGATAGCACCGGCATTAGAAATGGAACAAATGCCATTATTCAAACAAGGTTTGGAGAAACAAAGATCAATATTTTCGCATTTTATTCCCATGTAACCAGGCAAACAGCTGCAGTTGAATGTACTTGTGCTATTAGATGGCATTACTGTGGAACACTGAGCTCCATTTAAACATGGAAAACTTAAACATGGACTAGCCACGTTGCAAATACTTCCAGAGTAGCCATTAGTGCATTGACAAATGAAATTACCATTTGAAGTGGTTAGACAAGTACCATTGTTTAGACAAGGATTGTTAAGTAAGCAAATATTTGACAGTTCACAAAATTGTCCAAAATAACCAGGGGTGCATGAACAACTGTATGAGGTTCCTTGAACTAAACATATTGCACCATTCGAGCAGTTATTGCCAAAACACAAATCGCGGTTTTCGCACAATAATCCAGCGTAACCAATTGGACATTTGCATTCTCCTTTTGCCAGGCCAGTTGATAAATTCACAACGCAGTTACCTCCATTAAGACAATTAATTAACGGACAAGGATCAGACATTTCACAATTTGCTCCAACATAGCCTGACGAGCACTGACATTTGGCCACTATTTTAATTGTCGACGAACCTTGAACAATTGTTGGAGTGACAATGCACATTCCACCATTCAAACATTGTATATTGAGACAAGGATCGATCGTTTCGCATAATGTTCCAAAATAATTAGGCGGGCACTGACAAATGAACGAAGAATTTTGACTCGCAGTCGAATTAATCGATAGACAAACCCCTCCGTTTAAACATGGCTGAGGAAAGCACGGGTTTGCAAATTGACAATAAACACCCATAAAATTAGACGGGCATGTGCATGTATATTGATTATTCAAATTGTTAAATGCACAAATTCCTGAATTCAAACATGGATTACTTAAGCATGGACTTGGAAGTTCACAAAACGTTCCAGCGTAATTTTGAGTACATTTGCAGGTAAAATTACTGTTATTAATACCATCAGATTTTACACACGACCCTCCATTTAAACAAGGATTTATAAAACAAGGATTTATCAAACTGCAATTTGTACCAATCCACTGTGGAGAGCATTGACATAAATAGGTTCCGACCGTACTCGATGATATACAGCTACCATTATTCAAGCAGGGATTATTTTGATGACAAGGGTCTTGAGTTTCACAAAACGTACCAAAAAATCCCTGGTTACAAGTGCACGTGACTAAACCATCATTTAAGTTACAAGTTCCACTATTTTTACATGGATTCGGGGCACATAAATTCAAAACATTGCAATTTGGTCCAGTAAAACCAGACTGACATTCGCAACGATAATTAGAAGTCGAATTAGCAGAATCAATTAATAGACACGAACCGTTGTTAAGACATGGATTAACGAAACATGGATTTACAGAGCCGCACGTTGAACCAAGCCACTGGGGAGGACATAGACAAGTATATTTTCCAGTCACGCCGTTGTTGGTACAAGTTCCATTATTAAGACATGGAATTGGAAAACACGAATCTTTTGACTCGCACAGTGACCCATAGTAACCAGGCTGGCATGAGCAAGTTACAAAATTATTAGACAGACGACAAGTTCCGTTGTTAAAACAAGGATTTACTAAACAATAATTTATTAGATTACAATTAACACCGGCAAATCTTGGCAAGCAGTTACAAGTGTAAAAATAATTTGTACTATTCCCTGAACTAAGACAGGTACCATTGTTCAAACAAGGATTAGAGAAACAAGAATTAGGAACGTTACAATTAAGACCGGTCCACTGTGAGTCGCACTGACATGTGTACCCTGATAATCCATTTAGCGTATCAATACAAACGCCATTGTTTAAACACGGTGAAACAGGGTAACAAGGATTTTTTGTTTCACATAGAGCACCTTTAAACCCTTGAGGACATAAACACGTAACAGTACTCCCATTTAAATTGCAAGTTCCATTGTTCAAACACGGATTTGTAAAGCATAGATTTGAAATACCACAGTTAGGGCCAGTGAAACCAGGCGAACATTTACAACTGATCGACATCGTTGAATTAAATGTTTCTGGAACTAAACAAGTGCCATTATTTAGACACGGATTGATATTGCAAGGATTATTAAAGTTACAATTTGGGCCTATCCATTGAGCAGGACATTGACAAGAGTATCCATTTGACGTACTATTCAATAAACAGGTACCATTATTCAAACATGGTGCAAGATAACATGGATCCTGAGTTTCACAAAAGTTTCCCAAATATCCTGCATTACATTTGCATGTTATTTTACTGTCAGTTACAGTGCATAATCCATTGTTGAAACAAGGATTTGGAGTACACAAGTCTGTTATGTTACAAATGAGCCCACTGTAACCAGTACGACAAATGCAACTGTACGATGTGCTAGTTGGGCCAGTTGGAATGCATAGACCATTGTTCAGACAAGGGTTATTAAAGCAAGGATCTTGAAATTCACAACGGGTTCCAGAGTATTCAGTCAAACAAAAACAGACAAACTGATTCGAAGACCCGTTGACTGGTTCAACAAAAGTGCATCTACCTCCATTAAGACAAGGTTTTACGACACAGGGATCTATATAGGAGCAAAAACGACCAACATAATTCAATTGACATTGGCATTGAAAACCAGCATCGTTGATTGTTCTGTCGACTGGAACGCATGTAGCGTTGTTTAAGCATGGAATAGTAGAACAAGCGTTTGAGTTTTCACAAGAAATTCCAGAATAACCAGGTGGACAATCACAAACGTAATTCTTATCAGAGTTGTTTGTTAGACGACATGTGGCTCCATTTTTACAAGGGACAGATAAACATGGGTTGCGCTGAGAACATAATATTCCAAAATACTCCGGCGTGCATGTGCATGTGAACGAATTGCTATTACTATTTGACGAGCATGAACCACCGTTCTGACATGGTTGCAATGCACATAAATCAGGTATAGATGCACATGTGGATCCAGTAAATCCATTTCTACAAAAGCATGTATATTGTCCATTGTTTGTAGCAGTACATGTACCCCCATTTATACATGGCTGAGATGAGCAGGCGTCGTTTTTTTCACATGCGGTTCCAGCATATCCTTGTTTACATTGACATGTAAACTCCTGATTTGTCGGTCCCAGTAACAGACATGTTCCTCCATTGTAGCAAGGCTCAAATTGACATGGATTTGGAATTTCACAAAACTTGCCAACAAATCCTTTTAAACATTTACAAGTATAATTAGCAACAACAGCATTTGCATTTGCACTTAACAAACATACACCGCCATTTTGACATGGTTTCAAAACACACGGATCATTCAATTGACAATTATCACCATAATAGCCTGGAACACAAACACATTGAGAATTTATTCCATCGACAGTTGTGCATGTTCCCCCGTTCAAACAATTATTTACAACACACGTGTTTTTTGTTGCACATGTGCTTCCAGAATATCCAGGTAAGCATAAACACACGTACGTGTTTATTCCATTGAGAATGCATGTTCCGTTGTTAGTACAGGGATTAGAGTAGCAAGGTTGACTTATCTGGTTTTGACATTGGGCACCTGCAAATCCTAGGCTGCATAGACAAGTATATGTGTCTCCTATTTGAGATGGTTTACAAATTCCGTTGTTTAAACATGGCTGGCTATTACAAGGGCTTAATAATTCACAGCGCAATCCTGAAAATTGTTGTGTACATGTACAGTTTATTTCAGGGTTTTGTGTGGATCCAGAAAGAGAACATGTTCCACCGTTTAAACATGGTTTAAATATACATGGATTTGGGTAATAACAAGTAGCCCCTACAAACCCGTCCAGACAATTGCAGACATATTTTGGTTCTACGGCGTTACTGTTTGGAATACACTGACCACCGTTTAAACAGGGATTGCTTAAACAAGAATCAATAGATGAAAAAATTTGACAAAATGTACCAGTAAACCCAGGTTTGCATCTACAGAACAACTGACTTGCATCCGTAACTTCGCAATTACCATTGTTTGCACAAGGTGAGGATAAACAGGGGTCAATTGCATCACACAAGACCCCGACAAATCCCGAAGCACACAAACAGGTAAATCCTATTGATGTTGCACTGTTTATTACGCAAGTTCCTCCATTGAAACATCTTCCTTGAAAACAATAGTCCACATTAGAACAGAGTGTTCCACTGAAACCAGGTTTGCAAAGACAAAGAAAGTTGTTGCCTCCAAGCCACGAGCATGTTCCGTTGTTCAAGCAAGGATTGTTCATACAAACATTTGCTTGAGCACAATTGTCACCACCGAATTCGATGCGACAAGCACATTCGTAGCCACGTGGGTTAGAAGAAACTAGTTGACAACTTCCTCCATTTTGGCATGGATTGAACTGGCAATAATTTTTGAGTTGGCATTGGGTCCCTGCATATTCAGGAGTGCATCTGAAATTATTTTGTTTAACTAACTAGAGAACTCTCAATTGTTCATAATGTAATACTTTACGATACAGAATATCTTTTAGAGAATGTGAAAAAGTTGATAGTTAATGCATGAATAGCAATGTTAAAAAGAATAAAATGATAACTAAACTAGTACTTTATTTATATATTAAAAAATTGTATTGAGTAAAATAAGAATAAAACAAATTTAATTTGTTTACATTAACCTGCACACATAATCAGGGAAAACAGGATTTCCAACGTTAATACATGTACCATCGTTGAAACATGGTTTTTTGAAGCACAACGAGGTGACTTCACAGTTTGAGCCACTAGTTTCTTGGGGACACAAACAAGATCTCGTCAATCCATTTGTCTGGCAAACACCTCCATTGAAACATGGGTTAGGAATGCAAAGATTGTTGTTGACGGTACACTGAGGACCTGTGACGCCAGGAGGACACTGACACATGCCAGTTGACGGGTTGCAGTATGTCGTTGCCAGCGTGTTTGAATTGTTGACGTAGTTAAAATTGTTGCAACCCCAAGTTAAACAGCCAGTAAACTGTTCACAATAAACACCTGGCAGCCAGTAATTATTTTATAAATATTATTATGTTTTCACAAGGGTTGCGATGTTTTATTGAAATGAAATAAATTCAACCAGCCTCCGTAATACAAAGGACACGTGCAGACGAATTTATTGTCGATGCTGTTGCACAATCCTCTATTTAAACAGGGGTTTGAAACGCAACGATCAATCAGTTGTTCGCACAGCTGACCTGACATTGCAACAATGAATTAAATTACGTGCAGCATAGTAAAATACAAAGTGATCAATAACTAGAGTAAACCTAGCAACCTTGAAAACCTGGAGTGCAGTAACATTCGAAGTAACCGGCTGGGAGGTTGCGGGAACAGCCCTGTTTCAATCTGCTGCAACATATGCCACCATTTTGGCATGGCTGAGAGGAGCAAGCATCAATTTCTATTTCACATTTGCTTCCAGTGTAATAAGCATCACACTTGCATGTAAACGAATTAATCCCGTCAATGCACGTTCCTTTGAAATTAAATTAAATAAAAAACAATATAAAATTTTAAATTGCAATTGCATGAGTTTACTTTTGTTAATATAAAATTAAATTATTCCAAAGTTGCTGAAACCTAGTGGTAGTAGTGTAATATTGAGGTCAGCAACTATGTACCAAATTTAAACCACGAACCGCAACAAACGATTGATCAATGCTTATAGGGTGACGGAACGAACCGTGAATGGAGCAGTCAGATGTTGGACAGTCGTCGACATTGTACTGACACAAGTCACCCACGTATCCAGGCAGACAAGTGCACGTTGGCCTGTTGGAAGGTGACACCGCTGGGTTGCACGTTCCATAATTTTGGCACGGATCGCCTTGAAATTGAACAACACAGTGAATTAACATTTATTATACTGTTTTTATTGTAATACGCATCATACTTGCATGTAAATGAATTAATTTAGAATTTGTTATTCCTTATTCTTTCATTCAAATATAAAATACATCCTCGTGTTATAATTTGGATGTACACAAGCTGATGAAATATATGAAACAAATTGAGTGCTTAATCTAAATAACATGAATCATTTATTTAATGCTGTTTTTGCGATTCAACAAATGAAGTACCTAATTAATAATAATAAGTTTTTACGGTAGATAGATGAATGACATTTTCGCAATAGAAATTACCAACACACTGCATTTTTCACGCTAAAACAGACACCTCGCTCGTTTTAAAAAATATGGACAATTTGTACGGATTAAAGTAGCCACTAATTTTACTGCGGCATATGCGTTTTTTAACAAATATGTAATAGAGAAACATATTTGGTGAAATGAAATTTATAAGAAAGCAGAAAATGACGGAAACTAACTGGAGCATAATTGAACTCTCTCGCAAGTTCTGCCAGCCATGTTAGGGGGACAGTTACATCGAAAAGAGTTTAATTGATTGACGCAAGTAGAACCAAACAGACATGGGTTTGATTGGCAGTTGTTGACCAACTGATCGCAATTCGGACCTTTTACAAATTATTCATTCACAATAACTAAACAAATAAGTTTTTTATAATTCAGTTGACAAATATCAACGTTTTAGAGTAAATGAGTTAGAAAATAATCATAATTGTTCTACTTTTAACAGCTCTCCTGTTGAATATTAACCTGTAAACCCAGCGTTACAAATGCAGAGCGGACCGTTAAGTTGATTGACGCAGGTTGAATCGTTGCGGCATGGTCTGGTGAGACTGCACCAATCGATCCTCTGCTGACACTGTCTGCCCGTATATCCAGGCAAGCAAGCGCACAGAAACCCGCTTCCGGATATCTTTTGAACGTAAAAAACGTTTGGAAAAAATTTGAATTTCAGTGGAAATAGACAAGAGGAATGTAATCGGTGCAAGTTTAATCACTTGATTGGACGAATTAACTAACCTGCATGACAACAAGGCAAAGAAAAAATTATTAGATATTTAAAAGATGGTTTTAAGAAAAATCCAGCAAGAGAAAAACTAACTGTGCAAGTTCCATTGTTGAGACACGGTTGTGATCCACAAATGTTGATGCCGAGCTCGCAGTTGCCCCCTGTGTAACCTTCGTAAGTTTAGGTTTATGTCTAGTTTTCTACAGTGACATCCATAAATTATTCGTAAACTTCGTCAATTATCAAGTTTGTATTCTGTTTTGTATCAAGTTTATGCTTAGTATTGTAGTATTGTACAATTATATCAACAAAATTATGTAATTTGTATTAATGGCTATTAGATTCATTTTCGCATTGCTCTAACGGGCCTAACTTATGATACATAATGAAAACTACCTGGTCTGCAGCTGCAGTGATATCCGCTGTCGACATCGGTGCACACTCCGTTCACGCATGGGTTCGTGAGGGTGCACATGTTGCTGCTACGTTTGTACTGCATCATCCAGTCAGGTTATTTGGAGTATAAATAAAAATGTAATAAATGGACAAGTATTTTTTAAAGATACGCGCAAGCAATACATAAGTTCATTCCGCGAGCACTGATTTTTATTTACATAAACTTTAAAATGTTGCTTATTATATACGGAATTTTAACATGAAATAAAAATTTAGAAGGCTGCAAATTACTCTTTTGTGAATGATGTCCGTAAGTTTCTTGAGAGGTTGTAGTTGAGGTTGGTAGACGAGAGTCTGATCACGCTCACCGACGTACTTGTAGCATAACGCAAATGCTACTGAGAGGATGTTGTCGCTCGAATGAGACAGACAAGAATACGATTCTTCACAAGTTGCAATTATGCAAGGATTCACTTCCAGGTTCATAAAATTTAAATAAGTTTTATGCGCCAGCTTTCGAGTAGTTTGATAATTAATATAAACATACATAATGTTTAAATAAGTTCATTTTATAATTTACGGTCGGTTGGAAAAATTATTCGTAACACTAAAACACAAACAAGTACGAATGCGTCAGAACAGTTGCTTTAAAATTAAATATTATTCGTGATCTAAGCAACAATAACCATGAAGACACGTCGCGTGTGATTCGTCCTGTCCATCCGGGCAGTCTTTAATTCCATCGCAGAGCCAGGCAGGTGGGATGCAAGATGAACCACGCGTCAGATCGATACACGAGAGCCAGCGATTAGGTCGCTGGTGCGGCTGATGAGTTTCAAAAATCGAACTGCTGTCTCGTATGGAGGTAGCCGTGATTTTCGAGCAGTTGTCGAATATTTCAAACGATGGAATCACATCTACGTTGAGAGATAGAAAACAAAATAATTTTGCCAATTCGCTGGTAAAAATAATTTTTTTAAATAATGTGATGAGTTTACGTTATCATTAAGTTCAACACTAAGAAACGCGAAAGATCATTAGAAATTCATATCGTATCACCGAGATATAAAAAGTTACACATCAATGTGAAATTTTTATAATTTTTATATAAGAAGCTGTTAGACTCACTTCCTGAAAATATCAAAGATTTGGATAAAACAGTGAAAAAACGTAAAAAAACTAATAGAAAAGAAAACAACATTTTTATAATATCTGTAAACAATTTGATCCAGTAGAAATAAAAATTTAGCTAAACGTGGTGAAACGTATTGACCACATTCTACGATTCACCATGCTTATTTACCGCCAACACAACAATTTATTATCGAGTAAAAAAATAAAATTTTGTCGTGCTTAATCAAACGAATTATTTATTTTGAAAAAGAAAATCAGATTAGATTATAAACAATTCTCTATATATACATACATACATACATATATACATACATACACACACACACAAATATTTATATCTAATTTTTAATTTTTACACATGTTTGCGTATAAATGTATGTGTATGAACGCCAAGCCAATATTATATTGATGCTGCAGTGTAACAGGTGTACAGCGGCTTGCATGAGTAACTAACAAAAATTAACAACAAAAACACGCGTCATCGATGAAAAAATTATTCATCGAACACCATATCACATCAACAAATTTTCGCATTGTTTATGATGCTAACAAAATAACAATAATGTCAATAATAATAACATTAACAACAACAATAATAATAATAATGTTAATAATAATAATAAACAGTACCAACTGAAACCAAATTTATTGATGTCATAATCATTGAAACATTCATGTCATAATGAAGTTTTAAACATCTAAACTCTTGTGAAATGCACAGCAGATTTCAAGTTTGAAATTCTTGCTAAAATGTCTGCCAACAGTCTAACAATGTATGAGCAAAAAACTAGTAAGGTAAAAATCGATTTTTCATCGCAGTACGCAGCTAGAAAACATAAAAGTTAGCTTCGGTCTATTCGGTTAGAACACATTCGCAAACAATACTCCGTGGAATATGCAAGTCGATAATATACTAAAGCAAATTAGTTTGCTTTTAGTATTTTTAAACTTGCTTTTGCTAAGAAATTTATGTGGCCTCATTTCATTAACATAAAACAGTACTTTTAATTGCAGTACTCGCCCATAGCATGCCAAGCACATCAAGAGTTAAACCTATCTCTTTCAATTTTTATATTAAGCCAAATCGTGATGATCAACGATGATTAATGAGATCCACCAGCTGGTCTTGAAAGGTGTCCTAAATCTTATGACTGAGAGGTAGACAGAGAAGGCGAAGAGGTTCAAAAAACGGACCATAGAAAACAGACTTTACTTGAGTATTTTCATCAGTAATCATAACATCACGGACAAGGCAACTAGAGGCCTGGCTATTTGACATTATCTAGTTTAGCAACTTTTGTGATATATTCTCGAGTACTGGCACGCTAAAGCATAACAAAACGTGTTACATTATACGTTGGTCGCCATGCTGAGGCAACGAGGGAATACATTGTTCGATTTTATCCATTTACTTTACTCTACAGTAAAAAAGATCTCCTCCATTTTTAGTTAAAGAATTGAGTTGGCACCAGTGTGTCGGAGTCGGATGAAAAATATCCCACTCTGACTCTTTATTTTTATGTTTTTTACAACATACTGGAAAAGAATTATGTGATATTATTCATATTATTAGCATTTATTTTCAGTATTGAAGATGATTGCTTATCTCTACATATATTTATCCCTTAAAAAACACAATCTCAAAAAAAATTTTCAGGAAAAAAATAAAAAATTTTGAAAAATAAAATAACATTTTTCAGAGTCGGATAACTCCGGCCCCTAAAAAATCCAACTTCGTGAGCATTAACCACGTTTAGAACTATGGAGACGAAACACATTAAAATGTTAAACAATGTATCGCGTTAACTAAACATAAAAATTATCATATCCATTCGTTGTTAGTTTTAATCTGTTGTAAGTTTTTTTACTTGAACTCAACAACTAAAATTCTACTGCAATAGTTGAACGATGTTAAATTTCAATCAACATTTTTGCAATACAATTATTTTAATTTCTCTATGTATACGAAAAAAAACAGGTGGAAATAAATAAGTATAAAATATGCTGAGGTACGAATAGAAAAAACGGTATTTCACAATGAGCATTGACATTATAACCTCCAGCATTCAACATTCGTATGAAACTCAAGGGTACCCAGCTTCTAGTCGAGTTTATGCGAAGAAAGCTATAATTCTTGCCTAAATAAAACTCCATGATATAAATAACTTTAACCTAGAAAGCGTAATTCTTATTGAAAAAATCAATCTAACTTGTAAGGCAAGTCATAGAAAATACTGAGTCCTTTTTCATATAAATGCCAAGACAAACATCCAACGCATTTAATTATAAAGCACTGTGTAATTTGACCTGATATATTGCACATGATAATTAACTGAAAAGACCAATTTTCAGAAGAATAATTACCAGCTAATTCCATTCTGATTATAAAACTGTGATGGCTAACTTAATAAAGTAAAATTTATATATATTTATAAACAATTTGACAGTAGTAATAAATAAAAATTCCATGGTATGATGCCAAATTTGAAATGAAATTTTATAACAGTTGAAAACCTTTGATTACAACATATCTTGTGATTTTTTTTAAGCAACTTGAAAAGCAAAGAATAAATAATCTTTAAAAATTAAGGAATGACAGAAAATGCAACATTTTAAGAAGAACAGAATCAACAAGCAAAAACTAGCAGTTCTCTTATAAATTATATAAATAGAAAAACATAATAAACATCATGTATAAACAAAATTTGAGAAACTAAAATATCATGAAAACAAAAATAAATAATAAATTATAGCTATTCAAATTGTACATCATTATTATCTAGGACATCGGCTTGAAATGCTGAAGAATTGTTTTTTGATTCAGTATCTGTATTGTTGATTGGAACTCTTGGCTTAGATTTGAACATCTCCTGCAGACAGGTTCCCACAAATGGTAGGATGGCACACAATCCACATGACACCTTCCAGAACACGCATAATACCCACAGAAAGAATAGAAATACAACCACAGTTGTGTAAATGCTCAGTTCATATACTTGAGAATTCATATTCTTTACCTCTACCTGCCTGAATGTTTGAATTTTTTTCATTTAGAATTTGATTTTAAATTTATTAATTAAGTAACATTTTAATAATTAATTATTTTTAAAGTAATATTTTATTTACAATGAATATCAATAAGATTTTTTTAATCATTATACTCTTGACTCTTATCTCTAATGATTCATTTAGATTAGAAGAATATCTGACAAAAAATCACACTAATTACTCTATCTATATGACATCATAAAAATGTTAATTTATTAATCTTAATCAAATGTTTGTAGTGATACATTTACATTATAGTTATATATATATATATATATATATATATATATATATATATATATATAATGATTTATAAAACGCTTTTTAGGAACAGGCAACAAACAATAAATCAGATGAAATAAAAAAAACCAACCAGGTTTTGTTTTCCTCAACTTTTTAAAAAAGTGAAATAGATACTATTAATTTATCTTATTATAAAAAATGGTTTTTTATGTTATCTGTTCACACACTTTACCACTATTTAATATAATTTGTGACAAATTCAATCATCATTTCATTATTCTCATATTAATTAAATTTAATTTAATAAATTGAAATTCATAAGTTCAAAATAAAAATTCATAAAATAAAATTTTACAATAATAACATAATGATAATGATAATCCAATAATAAATACTATACTATATAGTATAGTATAGTATAGAGACTTATAGAGAGTTACTATAGTAATATTTGTTATAGTATATAATATATATATATATATATATATATATATATATATATATATATATATATATACTATATATTCCTCTCCAATAGATAGAAGAGGAATAAAAAAAAGTTATCAGGAACTCCTTAAAATTAAAATCCAACAATAAGTATTTGTGAAGAGATAAATTTAGTAGTAAATCACTAATTAGTAAATCTTTCTTATTAATAACTTCAAAATTAGCTGACAGACTCACTGAACGAACGCAAAGAAAATTTGAAAAACGTATTTCTGCCCTAAGACAATTATTGACGGGAGTGAAAATGGAATCGGAAAAAGTAAATTTTTAAAGGGTGCGTTTATCAAATTGAAAAAAAATTGACAAACGCATTTATACTCATATATACTATTCTATTTATGTGTATACAAAACAAATAATCAAAAGGGTAATTAAATCAATTAACCAAATTAGATTTTAAGCGAGGAGTAATGAAGTTTAGTACCAAAAAGAACAAATATGAAAGGAAATGGTTTATGGTTTATTTGTTTCTCACTACATTAGAATTTATTTAAAAAATTTTTTTGTCTTTAATTTATCATGATTATATTAAGAATGAATTTTGTTCAGATGAAAATAGGGAATTTGTGGAAAAAATTGCACTACCGTATTCTCGCCATATAAATAGAATATAGAATTCTTGCCAATGGACACTTTATCGTGGAAATGAGTGGCTTGAATTGAACGTGTATTCATTATATTCTATACATATTTTAGAATTGAACGTGTAGTGACACATTCATTATATTTTATACATGGGATCATCAAATGGCAGATCTCCAGTGGCCCAACTTCAGCACTACTGCATAATTTTCAAACGAACTTTGGGTCAAAAAATTTCAAAGTTTTCAAAAATAGAAATATATGGAATTATCGATCAGAGATCATTCCTAAATGATTATGATTGCTTAGAAAAATGTTTCAAGCATACAACAATTCTGTTAGCCAGACCAATATACAGTTAGACCCATTTCCAATTTGCAATCTAGTACCGACTAAATTATGGCTAGAAAATTTTCTAACAAACATGTTTGGATGAATGGGTATAACTTACAAACACACACTGCGTCTGTGTATGTGTGTGTGTTTATTATACCGATTATTACACAACAATTGTAAATAAATAATTGTATATATAAATATACATATATATAAACGTG